GCGTGACGGGAGATGTATCCCTTGTTTCTTGTGATTGATTGATGAGGATTAAGCCACCCAAAAAGGTAGCACGGGCATGAATAGCCCGTAAGTGGTGTTCTTGTTAGTCACAGTTGATTTTTTTTTATTGAGGCTGGTATTTTATCCCCTGATTCCATGTATAACTAACCATCCTGTGAGATGGGAATATTTAATGAACTTGTAGCTAGTTTTTGATATACACTGTGTAATCTTTCATATAGAATAGGGTAGCAGCACATTACTGTGTATACCTAAGCTTGTTAATAATAAAAAAAAAAAGTTAGTTTCTATCGATAGGGAGAGCGATGGTTCAAAAATCCTTCTTTAAAATATGAATATCTTTCCTATCTCACTAAGATCTAATCTCTGTGATTAAAATGCAAAATTGACTTTGTCACTGCCTTTTTGATAACGTATACAATCATAAGCTTATTTGTGAATCTCTATTAAACAGTAAATCAGAGAGCGTGTAAGGTTCCGTGTTCCATGTCCGAAGAAACAGGGAGATTTTACATAAATACAGTACATGATAGTTTAAGTAGCGAACGCATACCAACAAATAACGATTAGTATCTATAACAAAAATATTGTTCTAGGGAGTTGATTTAACTTCCAACCATGTATTTTTAAATCATCTTTAACGTTTTCTGGCTAGTTATGTTAGATTTGATTAAAAATACGCATTCTACTTGTTAATATCGTTAGATTTGATTAAAAATACGCATTCTACTTGTTAACATCATAAATTAAATTTGCGATAATTTGAGCAGAGAAGTTCGACGACTGGATCACTGTGTACAGAAGGTTGATATGCCAGCAAACACTTTCCAGAGAGCAATATATCTTGGATAAGTCGCTCCACGATATTGTTGCTTGGACCATCGACTTCCTTTGATATTGCATATTTACATCTTATTTTGTTATGAAATGATATTTTTTCAGAGTAAAATTATGTTTTCTCATTTTCTGCATCCAGCATCCACATTATAGTGAGTAAATATACCATATTACTTCATTGCTTCATTGCTTACGTAATGCTAGGAAGGTTTGAGTAGCTTTGGGTCTTTAGTGGACAGAATCTCCAATAGATGGGGCGAGAGTCGCCCCATCTCTCTCGACCGGGCGGGACTCGAAACTTAAATTAAAATTGCTATATCATTGGTCTCCAACATGATATATTTCCTTTGATGCACTCACAATAACGATTATAGCTCTGTCTTTCTGGAGGCATGTAATATTTTAGGCTTTATTAGCGTATCTTTGTTAATTACACAACATATTGGCAAGTGCGTAGGCGTCTGCACTCCATGACCGAAAAGCTACTGAACGCCACTATAAAAACATATATATCTTCACTTGAGCTTTAAATATGTCTAATGTAATGTATTTAAAATAAAGCTTATATTTCTATCTTTCTTAAGACGTGTAAAACATTTGTGTTTATTAACGAATTTACGTAAAATAAACATTCTTCTGAGAGTTGCTCTGTCGCTCAGTCTATGCGGGGGTCGGAGCTCGGCGATTATTAAAATACATGAATCTTCATTATAACTTTAATTATGTCTATGATAAAGTGTTTAAAATGAGCCTTATATTGCTATCTTTCTTGAGGCATATAAAAAAATTACGATTATTTACAAATTTACGTGAAATAAGCATTGTTCTGAGAGAGAGTTGCTCCGTCGATCGATCTGTCCGGAGTCGGAGCTCGGCTATTATAAAAGTACACGTATCTTCGCTTTAAATTTAAATATGCCCATGGTAAGGTATTTAGAACGAAGCTTATATATCTGTCTTTCTTGTGACATATAAAACTCTTACGTTTATTAAGGAATCTGCGTGAAATATGCATGGTTCTGAGATGAATGCTGCGGTTTTCGAGTTTGACGAGCGATGAAAACTGCCACTTTTATACAACTACAAATATCTTCGGTTTTACTTAAAATATTTGTCTGGTAGAGGTTTTACATATAGATCGCGTTTCTGTCTTTCTTCTGACTAATAAATAATTTTGGTTTAATCAGTTATCAAGATGTTTTCAACAATATTCTTTCAGCGTCTCCGTGGTGTAGTGGTAAGACACTCGCCTGGCGTTCCGCGAGCGCTATGTCATGGGTTCGTATCCTGGCCGGGGAGGATTTACTGGGCGCAATTCCTTAACTGTAGCCTCTGTTTAACGCAACAGTAAAATGTGTACTTGGATGAAAAAACGATTCTTCGCGGCAGGGGATCGTATTCCAGGGACCATAGGATTAAGGACTTGCCCGAAACGCTACGCGTACTAGTGGCTGTACAAGAATGTAACAACTCTTGTATATATATATATATATAAAAGCGTTCGTCTTTTCCAACTTGAGCGACCCTTTTGGAAGCGCGATACTTGGGTTAACCCATCCTATAGTTGGGTCTGTTTCCAACTGGGGTTCGAATATTTACACACTGGCCAGTCGGTTGGGCAGCCGGGTCCCCCTCACGTTTTCTTAGGTGGCCATAGGGCTCTCTTCGCTATTTTGTTTAAAGAGTATTAAAGTATACATACTGTTTTAACAGTGTTGGGTTTTGGTTTTGCGTTTGGTGTAAAGCTTATCAACTACGGGGGAGTTATTAAGGCTATCGTGAGAGCTTAATCTTCCAGCAAATATATGTTCACTTAGTCCTGGACTATACTCTAGCTATATTTGTAAGTGTACAGCTGTTTATTTATATATATAAATACAGTATATATATATTATATATATATATATATATATATTATAGTATAGTTTAAGTAGTATAGTGTAGGAAGAGCAGATTTTGTGAGTATACTAACAGTCGTGGATATTTTATTACACTTGTATATGAGTACTGAAGTTAAGTCTTTTGTCTATGTATAGGCCAAGGAACGTTTCACCAATTTTACTATCAATGTTTATATTGTCTATCTGAAGATGCATTTGGTTCAACAATTTGTTTCCAAATATAATGTAGAATGTCTTTTATATGTTTAGTGTGAACTTCTTGCTTGACATCTAAGAGTGAACGTTTTTTAGTTCATTATTTACAATATTATTTAGTGCGTTTGTTGTGGTTTGAAAAACCGAAGGTAGCGTCGTCAGACCAAATGGTGTATGAGATACTTTGTGCTCTAAATAAATATTTTATTCATACACTCACATATTGCTCTTGCAGTAGTCCCTGATGCAGAACATGGTAGCAGTGCATTAATTACTGTGTGTTCCTCAGCTTGTTAATAATAATAAAAGTTCTAAGAGTTCATATATGTTTTTTTCTAATATCAGTTCTATTATCTATTCAAACAACAGTGTGCACAGGATGAATACATAAGGGACAGAGTCTATTCTCTCATTAATCATTTTACTAAATCTGCTTTTACAGTTCATATCATATATACGGTATGAACACAACCCAATGCACTTTGTGGTATAAAAACAAATAAATAAATAAATAATTCTACGTATTATTTGAACTTCGATGGTCAAAGGATTTGAGCATCAAAGGTATAGCGACTTTCCAGCGCCACGGTTGAAAATTAAGACGGCGACCTTGAGAACTATGAGCTGATCACATACAGCTGAGATCGATTGAAGCTCGGCTGCATGGTAGCGTCCGCAGCCCAGCGTAGATTTGGCCTCTGGAATTTCCGATTTGATGAGGATATACGTACACGTTTGACATAGCAAAAATCCCCTGTATTGTATAGTTTTCCGCGATACCCACTGTAGGAAAAGATGAGATTGAGTCTCGACTCAACTCCAGTCTTGGCCAGATTAAACAATGCTTAACATAATCCGCGCGAACGAGGCGCAGTCATGCAGCATGTCATTCTAGCTGTCAGGGCCGCCGAAAGGGGTTGCGTATGGCCGGTGGTGGAGCAGCTGCAGGTGTGTTGATGAATCATATGGGGTCAGTTGACAGCTCGAGCAGGAGTACTGGCAAGAACTGGTTTCGCAGCTAAACACAGCGACCAGTTGTGACAAGGTTGGTGTTGAGGCAGACTTAGTGCTGAATTGAAGGCCTATCTAAGAGTCCATCCCAGTATAGCTTAATAACCAACTATGCAGCGAGTACTTTATTCCAGAAATATAGTTCAGGACTGAAGAAAACTCGAACTCGATAAGTGTGCGAGACTGCAAGCAGGTTACATATCTGGAAGACTTATACTGAACTGGAGTATAAGTTGTTGCCGGGTTTCGTGTAACTATAGGAAGCAAGCGAGTAAATATGAAACGGGGTCTGAGAAGGGCAACCAATTAAGAATTACATGTAATTATATACCCAAATCAGAATTACATGCAATTACATCACAAATCAGAATTACATACACAAACCAGAATTACATGCAATAACAGGATACTGTATATAGAGGTAAGAGTTAACCATGACGGGCTATATTCAGAATCCCTGTTAACAGTATTAATGTTAAAATTTGATTTGTGCAATTGCTCACCACTTTATGTAAGCAACGGGACTATCTGTTGTTGTTTTAGATTCAGCTACTTTGAACAAAGTTTTTCAAGTAACACTGACTATAGTGAGCCCGTCGTACTCACCTCATGTACGTGTGACTAGCAATTGATTCCAGTTTTTAAATATTTGTTCTCATAAATTAAAAATATAGTTAGTAGGATCATATGTTGTTGAGCTGCTGTTTTCTGTTTCCGGAGTAAATCTCTTCTTGTATTCTCACTAGATTATAAATTCCACATTATACATAAAACATAGCCTAAAAAGAGACTTGCCTGTATAAATAGCGTATAAATTCTTGTATTGCAGTGCAGTAACTTGTGTAGTTAAACACGATACACCTGCGTGACAAGCTGTCATGCAGGTGTAATTGTCACGTCATTCCGGTGACACCACGTAGCCTAACTCAATTTACCTGCATGCCTCAATTTATCTATCACTGAACTGCATTATTAGCTAATATCAAACTGTATAAAGAATAAGTATATAATGCTCTGTTTTTTTGTTTAATAAGGTATTTCGGTGCGAGTGCTCACCCAGATTATACAACTGGTGGGAGTGTATGGAAACTGTGAGGTTGTCTGGCCTCGCCCTGCCTTGCACAACCCTTGCGCTCACCAGTCACCCAACACACACCACGGGGAGTGTACGCTTCCGTTCTCTTCTTCCCAAGGTAAATTAAATAACTGTTGAATAATAACTATATTTATGGCAACATATAAGCGGATTGCGCCTTTTGGTATTAACCTAGCGGGTTATTAAAGAGAAGCAAGCAGTGGCGACTGAACTAGTAGTACAGTGGCAATTGTAGACTCGACTTAACCAGGTATATACATTACCTCTCCGATATCCTTATAATAATGATTACATAGTTACCCGAGGACCACTCTCTTCAATGCCCCTCGATGGACACAGGAAGCCGGCGGCTTGCCAAAGGTAATCCATTATTTATCCTTTTCTATCTTCCAGGTCGATATGTATCAACCTAAGTACAACGTTCAAGAAAAAAAAAATAAACGTCATCCATTATAACTTGAATTAACGAGCATTTGGCCACTGAGGATAGGTTGGTATGAACGCTTGCACGAGATCTCTAATGCCTGGCTTCGAATCCTAGTATTAACGCCTTCAACCCATCCTCGACAAACAAAAAAAAAAAATCTTTATTCCAACCGCTACCCCTATATGTATGAATATAATCATTAGTATCTGTACGTTGACATGTACGTAAATGCATGCATGTATGTATATATACAATTTTTGCATTATTTTGGCTGCATCTTTCAAACAAAATGTATGACAAAAATTTAACAATTTAGCGCATCTTTCTTAGTATGGGATTCAAGATATCAGTTGTATATTCGCGTGGGTGTAGCGCAGGTGGTGACAAGGTAACATAAAGATAACACAGGTGGTGTTAAGGTGATGCCAAGATAGCAGATAGCACGTGCTGGGCACTCTGTTGTTGGGGGCCATGATAGATAGCAGTGTCTGGAATTTTACCCTTAAACAAGCCAGTACTTAATTACTTGCCTGGGGGGGGGGGTGGAGTTCCTTAATCACGAACAAATCCACAAGGGCCGAGACGAGGATTCGAACCTGCGTCCGGGAGCTTCCCAGACGCTGCCTTAATCGACTGAGCTACGACATGTTCATTTGATGCATCACGCTATTGTGATTTCTGTGTGTTCCTTAATCATCCTAAGTGTCGCAGAACAATAATTATTCCCAATTTTCAGAATGGCTGCCGGGTCGGACGAGATAGAGCGAGCGTGCGAGGTCAGCCCAGGATGCGAACTAGAGCCAGAAATAGAGATCGAGCCAGCATGCGAGGTTGGGCCAGGATACGAGGCGTTGCCAGTTAGCGAGGTCGGGCCTGACGTTTCGACGGGCGAGGCCGGGCTGGTGGTGGACTTGGCCCTTCTCAAGAAGGGCTTCTCCCCGACCCCTGAAGGCCAGCTCCTCCTGGATGGGTATCTGGACGCCTACACGGAGATGAACAAGTATTACTAACACTTTTGAGTTTGTTGGTGCATGGTTTATGGCATGTGTGTAGGGGGGGCTTCTTGATGGGCCTTAATTTTCATTCTTGAGTAGAAGCGGCAGTAATAATATACTAATTTGAATATTAATAAAAGTAACTTTACACTATATAAATTTTAGTGAGCAATTCAGATACTTGTACGCACATTTTTTTTAACAAATTTGTTCTAACAATGATTAGATGACAAACATAAATGTGACCCGCAAATTGTTGAATTCCAAAGTGTGCCTACAATTGCGCATGCTTCAGTGTATGTTGTTAAAGTAAATAGTTATTTGTTAGCTAAATGGAGAAAATTAGATTCTGTAACAGTAGTAGACATCAACTCACAATCGAGGGACCCGGGTAGGACAAACGGTTGGGTATGATGCCTCTCGCATAATGCATCTGTTAAACTAGCAGTCGGAAAATAGGTACCTGGAAGTTAGGCAATTTTTGTAGTTTGCTTCCTAGGGAAGGTCAGTAATTGACCTAGGGGGGGGGGATGTCGATAAACCAAATTATAGGCTTAAACATTGTAAAAGCCTTAATTACATATAAATAAGGTCTTGATAGGGAGAATACTTAAGATAATAAGTGGCGTTTTTTGTTTTGAACAAGTGTACAACGGTATTTATGCGCCTAACAAAACTATTAAGATACAGTATATTGGTTAACCGCAGTCCACTACCACAGGTAACGGTAGTAAAGCTGTTGCTGGCAACGATTACATTACACTGGAGGATGTTTTGTTGCAGATATAAATACATTGGTCTAATCGAAATGCATCATAATTTTTAATACTTGTGCTTGCAGACCGTTGGAGTGTCTGTAGGTTCTCTTGTCAGACCTAATTATTTGGAGCATTATGGTTTTAACAGGAGGGGAAGAAGGTTGTTCGGTTCAGTTTCATCACATTGTTAAATTTTGAGATTTAGCAGTTTATTTGTAGATCTTATCCATATGAAATATTCTGAACCCTTATCCCGTGCAGCGACCAGGTTATTATAGCTGTTAAGGGAATCTTATTGTATATTGCACGAGAGATTCTCTGGTATTTGAAAAGACCTTGACTAGGAGAGAAATTGTGCTGGTGTAAGAGTTCAGCCAGTGTGTTTAGCCTGACACGAATAGTTTGTATGTACGTATTTTTTCTGCTGCAGTGTGAGCTCTGTTGACTGTTGAACTTTAACCATTTAATATAAAAGTTATGACCTTGTAATATAAAGCTACGCCATTATTTAGTGTTGCAGCTTTGAGCGTTGCAGGATTCTTATATTCTTGGTGGTGGGAGTCCCTTTAGTACAAATCGGGTTCGTTTCGCTCGCAATCGTTGCTTCAGAGTTCGAATCCCTGACGGTACAGAAATGGTTGGGCGCGTCTCAAATCACGTAATGCCCCTTTCACCAAGCAGTTCCCAGGAGTAAGTCGGCTTGTTTCCCAGTTTGGTGCCTTCTTTTGATAATAACTTAGTCAGCTTGTTGTGGGACTGCATCCTGGGGAGGGTCAGTAATTCGACCTGGGAAGGGGGGGGTAGAATTTCGATACAAGTCTAACCTGTATATATACACTGGCTACATGTTCATACACAATGAATTATTATTAATCAATTTATGGTGAGGTGCAGAATACGTAAAATTTAAGGCATGTATATTTAAAAAGTAATTTAAACTTTATATGGTTGGAACCTCTTTACTGTCGGCATACAAAATGAGAGCCATACTCGCTTAACTATTGAAAGCGTATCATTTACGCAATGATAAACGAATGTTTTGGTGGATATAAATGACTAGCTGCTTTGTATGGGCCCAATAGGCCTTGCATTTCCTTAAGTCTTGTGTTCACATGTGTTGGTAACAACGTAATGGAAGTAGAGCTAGCAGCAGAGATTGTTTATAATACTGTAATAACAATAATAATTTATTTAGGAAAGTATATGCATAGTTGCAGAGTTACAGTACAAAAATTGTTTGATTTAAAGATAGAGGTAGTACATAAAATACCTAAAGCCACTAGTACGCATAGCGTTTCGGGCAAGGTGAGGTGGGGAAAAACTTAGACTAAAACTTAATAGTAATTGAGCTTTAAAGTATAAATTGCCTTGAAAGAAAACAAAGATAAAAAAAGGGGGAAACATGGTAGAAAATAGCCAATATACAAGTTGGTCAACAAACGGCTTTTTTTTTTTTTTATATATATATAAATAGTAAGACATGGGTTGACATTTAGAAGTAAGGTAGGTTACATGGAGTTAATTAGGTAGTACTTAGTTTTTATCTTAAACTGGTTGAGAGAGGTACAGTCTTTAACATGATTGGGAAGGTCATTCCACATTCTGGGTCCCTTGATTTGTAGAGCATTCCTAGTTTGTCTTACTCTTGGAATATCATAGGTATTTGTTTCTAGTGTGGTGCCCATGAGTTCTGTTACAACCTTCTAGGAAGCGTTGAAGGTCAGGATTGACATTACAATTCAGAGTTTTAAATATATAGAGTACACAAGAGGATGTGCAGTAACTTGACTGCACATAACTGTAACAGTTCTGTTACTCGGAAATCCTTAGAACCGTGTCAACAGCCTTAATTCGACTAGAGGCGATAAGAGATGAAAGTTGCTGAAATAATAGTAAATATACTTAACATGGGTACATGAGCATTTATACAGCTACCCGAGGCTAATGCAGGGGGTTTGCAGTGTTTGTAAAAAGCTAGCAATGTTAATATTAAAATCCCCATCTCACAGGCGTGTCATACGGGGGCATGAAATCAGTTAATCCGGACTGGCAAACTTTAGATGGATTATGAATATTCTAAAGACAGTGTCGATATAGTATAAAGCTCCAGGTATCTCAAACCGGGTGGTTTGAGATGCCTGGATGTGACTAAGAAAGACTGGATAATTACAGTGAGAATGTACTGTAGTTAGATGACTGAACTAGATAAAAGTAGTAGAATCTGGTAGTTTTGAGAGGTGAATGATGCAAGTAAAACAAAAAAATGTACAGAATCTATATGGTTAAAAAGTTTACGAGGAGGACGTTGAAAGGAATATTATACATTAGTTTGTTCTTTAGAGGCGGCCGCCCCATTTTACAGGTGTTCAGAAAGCCACATAATTCAGAGTAGTAAGACTCCACACCCGTCATGTGGTTGGTCACAGGTGTGATTGGTCCACAAGTAGACCTCTGTATAAAGCTGACAAACGGCGTTAATTGGCGACAACCAAATTTATTCAATCAAAAAGCTTGAAACTTTTCATTATCTTGTCAACAGTTAGACATGAATCAAACTGTCCACGTCAACACAGTTTACATTTTGCTTTTCTCCACCAGATTCTTTCAGATCATGGGTCCACTGTTTCAAGTCGTCTCTACTGATGTTCAGTCCAAAGTAAGTGTTTCCTGTGCTCTCCGGAACACTGTTAGTGTCGCTATTTCGAGAATATTTGTACCAGTAGTGTTAGTCCCACGCTCGCGCGGCTTAGGATATGCGCTAGTTAGTTTAGTTCATTTATTATGCACCCCATACCCATCTCGTGGGCGGTAGTGGAAAGGGTTACAGAGGCACATAATGGGCTCAGGGACTGAACCTCTCAATTGATTTAGCTAAGCAAGTTACAATCTTGATGAGCTAGTTACAAAATTCAATATAAATCGTCACATCATCAGTGGGTTAGAGAGTGACCAAAAGTACAGTTTCTAAATTAAGCAACTGACATGTAGAGAGCTAGTGTCATAATTTGTTTGTCCTGCACACCGCCCCCCATCCAGTGGGCAGCGGTGGATAGGTTACAATCTCTGTTACTATCTACAGTTAGCAAATTGGGAATATTTAGCTAAAATTCTGGTAGCAGGTCATTTTGAATGAAATATTTACATATCTTTGGAACATTTGTTATATAATTCTCTGAATTCACGTATCTTTTTCGCACTCCATCACATAGTGACGGAAGGTGTGCGAATAATTTTGTTGACAGTTTACATTTGGTCATGTCTACATCAGCAGATGATGAATTCCCAGAGATGCTTATGAGTATAAGCCGAGCAGTAGTAACGTCTAGAAGTCTGCTGATCTTATTGGATGATCCATAGACGTGTCTCCTCTTTCATGACGGTATGATGATAGATGGAATGACTGGTGTCGATTTCACTTTGCCTCACATCTAAGATTTTGTTGAAGTTCTTAGTGTACTATTGCTCTGACTGCTTATTGGCAATCCAAGGTTATACTCGATTTCTCCTTTAAAGGCAGATTCTTTGGCTAACTCATCAGCTAGACAGTCCATATTTAATTTTACTGTACTGTAGTTGAAATTTCCGTTGCTTGGCATTAGGCTTTACTTATGAGTGGTGAAACTGTAGCTACGCTCCGTCTCCAGCAGGTATGTGTGTGTGTGTTTATAGTTTTAGCGTCTATAAATGTTGTAGGTAGACGCTGTGCGTGTTTTAGTAAATTGTGGTTTTATGGGAGGGTAAAAGGGACCATCCCCCACTATGCAGCCTCCGTCTCGTGTGGATAAGCAATGGGGTCTCGACCTCCAGTGTTGCTTCGTTTTATTAGTCTCGGTAAAATGTTGATTTGTACCAAGAGTTGCTGGTGCTGCTTCAACAAATGGATGTTTCGCGGGATATGAAGTAAACGCGTTGTTAAATAGGGTTAAATTATAAAAATACCTACTTAACACCAGAAATTGTTGTTTGTACAGAAATGGTTACACAATAGTTAAATTTTAAATGTACGGCAATCGCAAACAGGACTTCGGCATGTTAATTGTAAAGTGTATTTGCGTTAAACACTCGCTTCTCTGCCTGTAATGCATTCTTGTAGCATCTCGTCAGCTTTGTACATGGTCCCCCGTACGCTGACATGCCAGACGGTATGTGTAATGATACACAGGTGTGACCAGGAGCCTCTTAACATAGCACAAGCTGATAAATGTGTTATCAAATTAAGATCTTAACATTTTATTTTATCAGTTTGAGGATGCCGTACTCTTCAAATAAATCTGTGATAAGATTTTCATAATTTCTCGAATGCTGTAAATTGAAAGTGATCGTGGCACTGGAGAAGGATTGGAGCAACCTTTTACTCGTATAATGAAAGTGGATAAAAAATTATGTATAAACTCATGCGGGTCATATGCGTGTTACGGATTAAGAAAAATTACCCCCATTTATAACTTCAGTAACTAATTTTACCCTTTATTCTACTTCGAATTGAAGTAAATATGTGATTACGATTCCACCAAGCGCACATTACACAAGACACGTATGTGTTAGTTTGGTCTGTGAATAATTAAGATTGAAATTCTAACACATAGCCAAGTACAAATTATTACCGCAGCTCTAATTGTATAAACGTTGCTAGACACTAAAGTGTTTAGTAATCTTGCTGCTAACAAATAACAGAACATTGCATAAAGATAAGTGCTTAACCAGTTTTTTTCCTTTATCAAATTTGTTAAAGCAACCAGCTTTAAACTTGGCCGAAGCGCTGAGCATAGAGCTTCATGCACAACAAAATATACCTTATTATGCATGTGCGTACTGTATATGTATACAAACTAATGTAAGGTTTTAGAGTAACTATATACTTACAATTTACCTGCGGTGACTACATAAAAATCGGGATAATACTGCGGTTCACAATTAAATGGTCCTGGGTTCGTTTCCCGTTTCGGTAGGTTTTGTTGAACCTGATGCCCCTGTTCACCTAGAGGTAAATAGGCACCTGGGAGTCGGGCAACTGTTGTAGGTTGGATCGTGGCATCGGTAAACCAAACAGGCTTGGTTTGGTTTACCGAACCAAACTAAATGGTTTGGTTTACCGAACCAAACTAAATGGTTTGGTTTAAACTAAATGGTTTAGTTTAAACTAAATGGTTTGGTTTAAACTAAATGCAGGCTTTGTCCCTGACATGAAAAAACAAACCAACTACTGTAGTTGGCGTTTGAGTGACTGGGTGTGGTGACGTGGTAAGGATGCTGACGTAGCCTGCGCGTTGACTGAGGGTGAAGATTGATTTTTTAAACGTCTATTGGTATGACTTGGGTGTTTTGTGTGTGGGTTGGTGACCTTCCCAGGGTCCTGGGCTGGGTGGTGGTGAGGTTTCAAGGCATTGGTTGGTGTTGTCTTGCATGCATGCACATCCTTCATGCTTCATGCTTCGTGACTACGGTTAGAAACGCTGTCCAGACTTTTGTTTCTTTAACCATAGTTATTTGCTTAAGCCCACGAGCGTGAAGTCTAATATGTTTAAAGGGTTTTGCATTTGTTTGTTCCTGGAAGGTTTCTACCCTCGCGGGATATCATTATCAAGGCACATGCTGTTTCCTGAAGAGATTAGCTCCTTTTGCCCCTAAATTCTCAAAGTTGTAAAAGGAGATGGGCAAGAACTCTTGCGAAGGGGGCTTGGGGGACTAATGAACCCGTTAACTGGTGGTGTTGAAGGTGTGAGCAGGCTAGGCCGTCAACCAGTCTTACAAGCACATTTTTGGCAAGCGGTAAACTTTAAAATAATTGGAAGTTTTAATTTTATTATATATAAAGTAATAGCCCATAAAGTACAAAGTATTTGCTGCATCTGCTTGATACCTGCTTGACGGTGTTCTGGGAGTTCTTGTACTCCCTAAGCCCGGCCCAAGGCCAGGCTTGACTTGTGAGAGCTTGCCCTGCAGTAATCATCGACTAGTTTTGCGAGAGCGGTTCTAGTTTCACATTAGGATGATTAGGAATAGGTCTGTGGTCAGGTTACAATATATGTATGCAAATTGTGTAATGCTTCTATTATATTAATATTCCTGGGTGTAAGGACACCTCATTGTAAATAAACTTTCTCTTCATAGCATCGCACGGGTAGTCTTGTAATTACTTCTCAACTATCGGTTATTGTTAGTGTGTGTGTATACTGTATATATTTATATTTTAGCTCAATGTGGTTACCCCTTCGCTTCTCCCAGCAAATCTTGTGCACCTAGTTGCTTTTAACGGGGAAAAATGCTTTTGCAATTTCTTTGCCAACTTCCCCAATTTTTTTTGCTTAAATTTGTTATTCGTAAGTAAAAAAAAAATAAAAATCTTCCATGGGTGTATATTGCATCAGTGCTATTTAGTCATGGGTTTATGCTTTTGACTTTGTGGCTGTGTAATTTACGTTGTTGCATTTTTCATACATTTAAATGTCTTGTATCAAACTAGTTCAGAAATGTTAACTTTCATAATAAGCCGGATAAGGTGCAGAGACTAAAACCTGTGAGTGTTGCAGGTGCGGCTGCTGCGGGAGTACTGTAGCGGCGAGGCTGTCGTCCACTACCACACACTCCACTCCATGATCGATTACGAGACCAAACATAATCTACTTACCAGCAAGGCCAAACCCTCAGGAGCCAGGACGCTGCTACGACTACATAGAGCTCTAGGTTGGTTAGTGTTTCAAGTTCACTGTTTCCTGTATTAGAAATATAATGTTGGATAGCGCTAAAATTGTTACATTTTAAATTGACAAATCATGCGTCGTTCCATGCCACATCAGTTTAGATCCATCTAAATGATTAATTTTTCACAACCTAAGACGTAGTACTCTAGTATGTAGTCCGGTCTTCGATCTCGCTGTATATTTGATGTGAAATATGTCAAACAGAACACTCGTGAAACGAGCAGTAAAATAGGTAGCTTGACCCGGTCTTAATACTAGGCTATGAGTAATTTATTTCACCAGTATATACACAGCCAAAGGAAGTGAATGAAAATAGTAGAGCAAACAAGTTATAGGTACACAATAGCATATTCAACCTATATAGATAGATTACAAATGTGACTTCATTCAACAGTCATTTAGAACAAAACGGGTGTGTTACTGTTAAATTTGGCGATATTGTATTTATCTGAATAATAAAATCATGCAGTAAATGCAGCCATTATACTTCACCAGACTGAAGTCATTTTTGTTCATCCTGTGATAGGCTTTATTCACAAATGTGTTTCTGATTTGCCTTCCCATCATAAGCTCAGTGTAACTACCTCATCGCTGTTCCATAACTCGTCGCCTTCCTTTTGCTTAAAGAATAAACATTTCTCCAGATCAGTCTGTTTGTCGAGTTTTATCTGTTATATCTTGCAATTCTTACGTGTACTTAGTCTAGTCAGTTTTTGCATCGTCGGCAAACATCAACGTAAATCATCATACTTGCTCATTAATTTAACAAATTCGAAGCGGTATGGGCCCTAGTACTGATTCTTGTAGTAATTTGCTCGTTACTTGCCTCCCTCCTGGTCTCTCCTATCTTGCTATGACTTTGTTTCCTCTTGGATTTGTATGGTATATCCCCGTTCAGTCCGCTGTCAGTTGTTTCTAAAGTTTGTTCAGTAGGTTCCTGTGTGGAACAAAGGCATACTGGCAATCTAGAATTTGTAATGGGCCCACCCTGCCTGATTTAGCACCTTACGGGGTATAAATGAAGACACAGGCTTGTATCATTGTACCTCCTGTCTATCCCTCTTCTTATAAATACGTTATAAATAAATCCAGAAGTCAGAAGCATTGTAAAGTATTGAAAGACGTTTGCTTGTATCTTGTTGTATTATTTAGCAACCATGGGGTGACGTGCTACGGTTATTGTTGCATTCTTGGAATCCTTCGTTTAGATAACACATTTCCTTTTCATATTCAATTTCGTCGCCTTCTAATTTAATTAAATTACTGTACTTTAAGATTACACACGGTTTTTAACCTGACGTAAGTTTGTTCTATAGTCCCAGATACTTTATCATATGGCTTTTCAGGTTTTCAGATATTCGCTCATTTTTATTTATAAATTTAGATTCTATTGTCCTGCTCTTCTTGTCCCCTTCCAAAGCTCTTGTGAACTTTTATTTCCTGTCCCATATCCTTGTCCTCTTGATGTCATTTGAACTATGAACTCCAATACGAATACAAAGTGTTCATTGGCTCCTTGTAATATTTCCTGAGCTTCGGTCACGCTCTTGCTCACATTTAATAGTGCGTGTTTATGCTTTCCTCGTGACGGTTTGGGTGGGTGGGGAAGGGGGATGAGCATTTAATAAGGCGGTGAGGAGGAGGGAGAAGGATGAAGCCCCACAAAGTCTAAATAAGACCTTGGGACAGTCTTAGCATAGTTTCTATTCCACACTTGTTTATATTTAATTTAAAATTTAAAACACTTCTCCTCACTTTAAATGTCCTCCAGTGTTTGTAGTTTCAGGTAGCATAGATTCAATTTTTGTTTAGCCTAGATGCAAAAAATTATCGCAAATGTACCCTTACAAATCTGGAAATAACAACCCTCTTTTTAATTATAAAAAAAATAAGATTGATGGAATTGCTGCATATTCCAGTACATTTCCAATATATATATAGGTCTTTCATACTACTGTATATGCAGTACAGCGTTCTGAAAGATTCCTCGTTTAGGTTTCTAAAAGCTATTCCTGTATCTGCTAGTTTTACATGTGCTGCTATCCTACTGTGTGATTTTTTTTCCCAACTTCCTCAATTTTGCACTTCCTGGATTTGAATTTCAGGAGCTCATGGTCTTGCTCTTGCAGTCTGCTTTGGTTCACCTGCAGAATTGTTGTGCTGTCCTGCGTCTCACCAGTTCGGCATTGACTGGAGGGCGACTTATGAGGGGCCTAACACCAGAAGATGCAATAAATGAAAACTGGTTCGATTTCAATAAAACTTTTTTGTCTAGTTGTATATGAAATTGGGTTAACAACAAGCAAATAAAGTTTAATTGAAATTGAACAACTTTAATTTTTTGGTGTTAGGCCCCTTAAGTTAAATTTTGCTGGTAGTGTGTGTATATCAAAAATATTAAGGGATCCAGTAACGTGAGCCCCCCGTGGGACATCCTGCGTTACCTCCTTCCATCCTGATTCTGCCTCAATGAATTTTTGCTCCCTTCCCATTAGGTAACTCTGCATCTAGCCTAGAATCTGTTCTGTTATTCAAGCTAGGTTCTCAATTTGTCTGAACTGTCTCGTTCTAGGTTATCTTGTAAAATGTAGTTAACCCATCCCTCCCCTCTCTTATTTGGTTTTCGTTACTAGATAATAAGAATTATATTTAACGACCTTCCCTTCTTGAATTTGTGCTGTTTCTATGACATGCTGGTCCACCTACATGCACCATATATTTCGATCTTAACTGTACGAGTGAGTATACAGTCGTCATTGAACTTCCATTGCATATTAATCTATTTCGGTAAATTAAATGTAATCTTCTGTTCCCAACGGACTGACACACGCGTTGAGGTTCACTAAAGGTTGCCAAAATATCATGAATGCAGTTATGGGTACTATTGTTCCCCTTCCCATTCCTCATTGATGAGAGATGGCTTAGACTGCCATCATGATGGCTTAGAATGCCGAGGGAACTCCACTGTCCAGAATCAGGTTTTGTCAAGATTTTGTCTACTTAAAATACCTGTTCATCTTTCCTCAACCGTAGTGGCCAAGCTTGAATTTATTACAGTTTTAACTTCAAAGTGCTGTGAGGTTGTCGGTAACAATAACCACCTTCGGGTGTGAAGTTCCGAAGCTTGTGAATTGTTCAATAAATACAAACTTAGCCATCGTGATCGAAAAAAAGCTGGATATATTTCGTAGCGAACACGTAATTGTTTATGAATCATGTTGCAGATGTACTCGTTCACCTTGTTCCTTCATGGTACATGTACTAGCCCCCTCTATGCGGCTAAAATTGCTTTAGACAGTTGCACCCCCTGGACCTCTGTCTTGGTAGGGAAAGTGGGGAGGGAGAGATATCCCTTCACTACACCAGTACAATACTTGTTGGAAGTTTCGCCATGGGGCGAAACTTGTAGAAGCTTGTAGAAGTTAAATTTTGTCACCCACATAGATGAGTCCTGCTATACTTTACTTGCACGACCCTACTTTTTTATTCGTTAATGTAATTCGGTGGTGACAATGTTCTCGCGGTTCTGTGTTAAATTTAACTTGGAACGGTTCATCTGCACCTCAATTAAAAGGAAAACATCCCTCTTTTTCTGAGGCGAGGTGTCATGCCTGCACTGCTAGTCAGGAGCCTTCGACCCACTCTCCTTCCAGTGCATGCTCCAGAAGCTTCGTATAGACCTCGACTGAGGTGTTACATTTAACTAGCCCTCTAAAGCCTGCTGGCGGGAATGTACCCCTACGCACCTCCACGTCCCTTCCTGCCCGTCCTTCACGTGCAGTCCCATTCCCTGCTCCAGTTTATAGACAGTTAATTGCCAGTTTACTTTCTAGACAATGTCATTGCCAATTCAGGCCTCTCCGGGCTCTATCTTTATTTTTTGTCGTCCTCTCTGCCTATTAGTCCTCAGATTGTTGGCTACTCCCGTTCCCATACAGTTCATCTTCAGCTGACATTGGTGCTATATGGCACCTTCATTGCGACCACTGTGCCTTCGTTTTCCGGTCAGAAGCGTAAACTAGATCACTTGCCCCTCCCAATTGCCATACAAAATCCCCATTCACGCTTGTACCACACTTTGACTACTGTGCATTCTCCTGGGCTGAGTTCAGCTTGTAAGTTAAATCCCTTTGCATTAACTATTCTAAAATACCATTTCCTTTTAATACATTCACCCATTCTTCAAATGTATAATATCTTCAAATATAAATAAATTCATACACTACTGCTCGCCTTGTGGACGGGTTGAAATCTGTTGGTGATATTTTCTAGATTGTTTTCTGAAAAAGTTTTATCGGTATTTTCTGAGTTCTATGCAATTTATTTGCACAGAACGATCAATTATTATAGTTAAAGGTATCGACGTTAATATATGATTATTTTAATGTTTTATTGGTTAAACAACATACAAAATATATAGCGGCACATAAGCATGCCCGCACTCTAGCGCTTCATAAGGCCAGGTTTAGTGCTCATGATTTTAACCTGTTCCCTGGGTGGCTTAAACCACTACAATATTAGTGCTAGTATCTACGCCCTAGCCATGGTTACATTAGGTTGAGGTTAGGTTTCATTACATTTGGTTACATTAATATTGTTATTCTAAACAAACGTAACATTTTGAATTAAAAACAATTGAGTATCCGCTAGAATTCCGTTTACAGAAAACGATATTCTTTAGCCCATTTCAAATAGTTCAGCATATACTCTTATATTTTTGAAATGGGCTGAAGAATTTGGTTTTCAGTAAACAGAATTCTAGCCGATACTCCATAGTTTTTGAATATCATACGTTAATATTGTTCCAAAAAACGTAAAGTAACTAAATGTAACCATGGCTAGGGAGTAGATACTAGCACTAATAATGTAGTGGTTGTGAAGTAATTACCTCCAGATTTGGTACACATTAATACATCACCTTAAAAATCATTTTCATTGTGACATTGCAGTAGGAAAGGACAAAATTTAGATTCTCACAAGTATATGAGGCAACTGAAGTGTGTGAAGACATTGTGGTAGATATATCTGGAATGCCAGATGTCGGTATCTTGTGTGTTGCCAGTCTGTGGAGCCGGGCGGCTACGTCTATGACTTAGGAAGGCGGTACTCCTAGGGCTTCAGTGGTGGCCGGAAAGTCTTTGGGTACGCACAAAGGAGTGATTGTGTAGAGAGCTAGAAGACAAGCGAATGAGGCATGGCCGTTCTGTTCTGCAAGAGACTAATCGGTTGGACTAGTGGAAGTCATCTGCAGTGGAGCTGACCACACCAACTATGTCCTAGCACACGATGTCTACGTAGAAATGTCCAAGTTCTCCACACTACCACTCCTTTGTGCGTGCCACTAGACTGTTTCCGGCCACCACTGAAACCCTAGGCTTCTATGCCTTCCCAAGTCCTAGAAGTAGCCGCCCGGCTCCACACACTGGCAACACACTGAAGATATCGACATCTGGCGTTCCAGATATATCTACCACAATGTCTTCAGACTCGTTCACACACTTCAGTTGCTCCATATACTTGAGAATCTAAATTTTGTTCTTTCCTACTGCAGTCTGTCACAACTACCAGTTCTGTCCCTTAGCATATTCGTTGATATTTTACTTTCTGCTTCCTTACACACCAGTTCAAGATACCTACCCACATTCTTCCATGCCCTCTTCTCCTAATTAGCAAGAATATACTGTACCACAGTATACCATCATATATTCGTTCAAAGTTTCCAAAACTGTCACGGTACGCTTCCCAAAATTTTACGGCTTATTAACTTTTGTACTGCATATATACATCCATGACTATTCGAGTTTCCAACGCCGCAAGCTTACATTATAAATTTAAATGGCTAGCTCTTTATTTTTACGTTCAACCCACACTAAGTCAATAGTGCTACTTACACATATCTCGCTCTTTATAACCTTTATTATTAGTGTTAGACTTATCACTGTTTCTGCTACACTTCAGAGTTCGTTACCGAGTTTCTAGTGGTACTGGTGGACCCCACAGAGGAAGGCTCATTCGGACGTAAGGTGTCAGAGCTGTACGGACGCACCCTCGCAAAGTACCACGGCCTGTTGATCAGGAAGACCTTCTCTGGCATCCTCCTCCTCATCCCAAAGAGACAGACTATCATCAATAGAGTAAGAAGTTACATTTGTGTACTGGTAGATCTGACTTTGGTGTTAGCCTGTAAAGAAATCAATAGTAGTTTCACTTTTTGATGTGAATAGCTTAAAACTAGTACATTATCACAAGATGGCTAACTGACAAGTATTGAGTCCTATTGAAGTCGGATCTTTATTGCATAGACTGGGTGTTAAATGATTTTGATCCAGGATAGCCCTAGAATCTATTGCGTGTGCTGAGGGTGTGAAAATGGGTTGTATAAATTCATTGAATGATTAGTTTATCAGTCCTTAAAATATGACGATGAGAATACATTTTAGTGTTATGACTTTCTCTAGGTTCACTAGATAATTCACTAAATTTGTGTAAATTAACTCAACTATATATGTACAAGACACTAGACCAATTTCTCTTTAGGTTCGTATTACCAATGTTTCTCCTCGTATTGTTCCATCCTTGCCCCCGTGGAGGGTTTCCCTTCCCAAGTTTTGTACGTCTGACCCGCATCCCTAAAGCTTTTACCCCTCCCACAGTTCTGGAACACCTCTTCCTTGAGCGCACTACTTCTCGCTCCCACTCCGTTCCCATCTTCACTGATGGGTCTGTCTGCTGACGGTGTGGGCTACTCGGTTGTTTTTCCTGACCCACACTTGTGTGTCGCCTTCCTCCGGAGGCTAGCATCTTCACAGCAGAACTTTATGCTATTCTCTATGCTCTTCGTCTCCTGCCTTCCAGGTGTCAATCCTCCTTTGTGGTGGTAATTGACTCTCGTAGTGCCCTCATGGCTTTAGGGTCCTTTACTCCGGTCCACCCGGTGGTCATCAAGATTCAACCTTGGCTGTTTCTTATCTCCAGTAAATTTGAGTCGGTTGAGTTTTGCTGGGTTCCCAGCCATGTTGGTGTGTCTTTAAATGAACGTGCAGATGCTGCCGCTAAGGAAGCTATCCGCACTTGTCCGATCTCCCGTAAGGGTATTCCTTATTCCGACTTTTACCCAGTTAATCATGCCTCCATCCTCGCCTGCTGGCAGAGTTGTTGGTCTTCTGTTATTGGTAACAAACTGCGTACTCTTAGAGTCGTGTGTCCCAGTGGCCGTCCTCCTACCACCGTAACCGGCGGTGGGGAAACAGCTCTGGCTAGGTTACGTATTGACCATACCCGTTTAACTCACGGTCACTTAATGGAGCGCCGCCCTGCTGCTTATTGTCCAAATTGCATTGTCCCTCTTAGTCTTGCATATCCTTGTTGAATGTCCTGATTTCCAGAACGAGCGTGTCTTGTTTTCCGACCGTCCCTCGCGGTCGCTTGTCCCTCGATAGAATTCTTGGCGACTCTGATACTTTTGATATCGTTCGCCTTGTGTGTTTCTCGTATTGGCATCCTTGGTGATATTTAGCGCCCTCTGATATTTAGCGCCCGCACATATGATGGTGCTACATAGCCTTCCCGGTTTGGTGCCTTTTGATAATTACTTATTAGACCAATTTTTTTTTTTTAATTGAAGTTGCTCCTAAACTTTAAGTCTTTAATACGGCTGCTACGTCCATAGGCCAAGCATATTTTTGGCGCCTAACTTAATCAAAACACGAAGCAACAAAATTAGTGATACCTAAAAATATGCTTTATTCCCCGCCAGAACTTTGAGAAACCACTATAAAACTAAACCAGACTTGAAATTTGTTACCCTCGATATCATAATTAAACTATCATTCAAGAGACTTTGTATTTTGCTTTGCAGTTGGCCAATGGTAACTCAGAAGCGGAGAAGGAAGCGATGGCAGAGATGCCGAGGGTAATCCAGACAATGAAGGACGCTTACAACTTCACCCAGAAACTTTATCAAGATAACGACCTACTTGACCTCCCTTGAAGTAGTGACTGGCTTCATTGTGATAATTAGCTCCGATTAGGGAATTTTACGAATATTTGTAATATTTATTTTGCATTATTTACATGTGAATATATTGTTTATACTAGGATTGTGTACTTTTTGTTCCCGTTGAAATATATTTTACCTACCTAAAATGTTAACAAACATTCGTAGCCTAGTGCACCAAATTTGATATTAACTAACACAGGTCGTTGGCCAGCAAATGTTGCTGCATCACATCATTTAGTAATAATAAAAAGCTCCTGGCCAATAAGTGGATAATTAAGGCTGTCAATCAGGTATATTAACAATGAAAGTCCCTAGCGATCACAGAATCTTGGCATCAAAGTGCCAGAATAAGTGGTGAAATGTATAGGCGAATTGTTAAGGGTTACCATAAGCCTATTGAAATATTTATTGTCTAGCACTACCATAGCTACAACCGTCACTCACCATAACCTGCCACAACTACCACCATCTGTACTATCCTCGCAAAGACTAATCTAGCAGAGCTAGTTAGACTTTGTTTACTACAACATGCAATAATACATTTCTAAGCACGGCTAGAGTTTATGCTTTCAAGTGGTACTTTTTCTTGTGGTAGACACTGAAGCGGTAGGGACTGTGAGAAACATCTGTTCGTCAGTGTGACGTACATGGTTGCCAAAGGAATAAAATAATGTTCATGTTAAAATGTATCAAAGCGTCTCCGGGGGTCGGCCGCAGGATGGAATGAAAATGGACCAGGTACTGTAAAATTAAATCCTTGCCTCCATTACCTGTCTTCCTGGCTCTTCCCAGTTCATCGCCATTACCACAAAGCAGTAATTAAAACTACTTAGAAAACTACCTTGGAGGGGTTAACCCTCGACGGCAATTGATCGTCTTGTTTTTCTTGCCGATGAGAGAATAAAGTGCGTTTATTCCTTTTGGGATTGAATATACATCGTTAGGCCATGGAAGGGAACGATCAGGGGAAAGCAGTTGGGTCATGAAGCTTTTCTAAGCTCCATGTGACATGACTGTTAGAGTTGAGGTTGTGAGCGTAACTCAAATTACGCGGTTTGTTTATATTAAGCCAATCTCTAATTGTTTTGGTCTTTGTGTTTCCAGTGCGAAAACATAACATTGGTGCACTAGTGCTAGTAATGGGGTCTTTGACTTAGTGGTTTTCGTCCTTGCAGGGTGTCGTTTACCTGCAGAGAGCGGCCCACCACAACTGTTTCCGGTCTCTTGACCATATGACTGGTTATTAGGAGAGGGGGGGGGGGAGGAGAGGCAGGTGAAAATTACTGGGAACAGGTAGCATTTTATTTTTAGTCTAAAGATGGGAGGTATTAAACATAATTATCCCAACCATTTTGTACTTTAGCGGTAGACGAGCAGGCGCAGTGGTCAAGTACTCTCCCAGTTCTTTGCGAGCGCTTTGGCCTGGGAGGATTGACTGAGCGCCAATCCTTAGCTGTAGCCTCTGTTCACCTAGCAGTGAATGGGTACCTGATTATTAAGATTTGGCGGGTCGTATTCCAGGAAAATTTGGATTAAGGACCTTCCCGAAACTCTCTGCGTGCTAGTACTCGCCTAGTTGTACTCGCCTAGTTGTACTCCCACAAGCACCTCAACTCCCACATTAGGCAGTGATGTGGTGGAGGCTGACTCCATACGCAGTTTCAAATGTAGATATGATAGAGCCCAGTAGGCTCTGGAATCTGCTTGTGGGAGTTGAGCTCTGTGTCCCGCCTCTCGACTGTCAATAAAGTGAAGTGTACAGATTCCAGAGCCTACTGGGCTCTCATATCTACATTTGAAACTGTATGGAGTCAGCCTCCACCACATCACTGCCTAATGCATTCCTTCTGTTAACTACTGACACTGAAAAGTTAGTGGATTTACAAGAATGTAAGAACTCTTCTATAAATACTGTGTGAAGTAGCAAGTGATTTGAATTGGAGCATTAGCGTACTTTTTTGTTTATATTGACAAACGGTGGCAGTTGTGTGTACCAGCGCAGGTTTTATGATGCAAGGCTGAATGGAGCTTCAAGCGTGCTGCTGGGCTTGCTGGCTTTTGTCTAAATACATTTTTTATTTAGATTTAGATTTTTTCGTTAGGTGCGCATGGTGTATTGGGAAGAGGGAGGCTCCATTCTTAATTTTATCTTTTTTTAGATGATCAAAGCACTACCATGGCTTTGATCTATGATCAAAGATCATAGTTTTTGAGAATTCACATTTACGGAAGTTTCTATATTCTGTAGTTTGCGGGTTCTATTGGGCAACAGTTGTATGTGGGAGTTCGTTCATGTGGAACTGATACAGTAAGAATTATAATAACCACGAAAATCTGTACGTGACCAGATTAGTGCTGTGTGGGCAGCTGCCCAATCTTCTCTATTACACAGCTATTTATTGGCAAACATAATTATGGTCATATTGTCTGAGCTAAAGCTAGATGTAGTGAATAGCGGAAGTTGAGTATTTTGATGTCAGCATGGGTCTTATTTTTTGTAACTGAAAATGTGTAATATATTCCCTACAACGGTAGTTTTTTTTTCTCTAGTATTTCATCGTACAACAGTTCGTCTCCGGGCGCAATACTTAAGCAAGACTGGTTCAGTGCTATCTTTGCTCTTGTTACGGTTATTCTGCTTAGCAAAGTGTAGGTCAGGCTGTGGATCATGTTAAACCCTCAGACGAGACTGCCAGGGACCCCCTTACTTTTATTTATTTTCTATATACAGTATATATACAAGAAGGTACATTGGGTTTATGAGAGTACATGTGTTTACATTCTTGTAAAGCCACTAGTACGCACAGCGTTTCGGGCAGGTCCTTAATCTAACAAATACTTTTAAGTAGGTAATTTCTAGCAAAATATATATGTTAAAAGGTACATTGTAAAAAAAAAATTGACAAAGATTAGTAGGCACATTGATAGCACATATAAGATGACAGCAATGATTACAATCGTAAAGGTGTATGGCTTAGGTACATATATTGGGGGATTGGGTAGCATAAATATACAATGTGTTCAATATGACAATACTTAATCCTTCCCCCTCCTCTTGTCACAACTACTAACCCCAAAGCCTCTTCGCCTCAACCAGCAGGGTTGTAAAAGTGTGGCAGCGCCAGGTAGAAACTACTGTTTATCGAAAAAATTGTTTTGTTTAGCTTATTTGTACAAAGATCTTCCTCAGAGCTTCTCGACCAAAACCCAGCTTAAATCTCAGGGTAATCTATGGAATGATCGTTTCCATCATGGCGGTTAGTTCATTGTACAACCCATACTATTTGTGAGCAGTAACGTAAAAATATAAAAAAAAGGTAGCAATAAGACCTTAGTGGGAATTTTGTTACCAATTATTAATCCTGACATGGTATATGAAAATCTAGGCTGTGCATGTCTTATCCTCAATGTGCGCAGTTTTCTAATAGCATTAACCATAGCCGCTCTCAAACCTTGCACATCAAACGTTCCTTACAATTGTGCATTAAAGCGAAACTAAGTAAGTTTGACTGAAGTGTTAGCCAATCTTACACCCACTCCTCCTCCCCGGACCTATGAGTGGAGAGGAAGTGGGTGAGTCACGCTGTCAGCCTTGTCCAGGGGTGACCCTCCATGTCACACCACCTGTTGCGGAGGGGGGGGGGGATTATCAAGGGAAAGCGCCAAAGCATTACGACTACATACCACTTGGAAGGGATAAGGATTTGAGATGGGACGGGGGAAAAAGGGATGGTGCCCAACCTATTAAACGCCGACCTGCATGAAGCGAGACTGTCGCTCTACCGTCCAGCCCAAGTGTGTGATGGGTGAGGGACAGTGATTGGAAGGTGAAAATAGGGGAATGGGATGGGATGGAGATTGAGAAATGAGGGTGAGGGGAGACTCACAGCTGACAGGCATAACTGCTGGACGACTACGTTTGCCAAGTCTGCCAAATTGGAAGTACAGCAGCTCCTAATCATAATCTTGCAATGATTAACAAGAAGCCAAATATAACATATAACCATTCGCAGAAAATAGACATTTAAACCCACTGACTAAACAGGAAATACTCGCGATAGTAACCATATTGTACACAAGGTAAGTGCAAAAGAGCGTTTATATCTAAAAGATCTTTGGTAAACTGCTAGTTGAGACGGTAATTACATTTCAATAGTAGTCGCTAAAAGATGAAGGGAAATTTTGATTTTCAACAGTTCCTAAGAGTCATACGTTCTATAATATCCTTGGTAACAGACTTAATACCTTAACATGTCTCATCATTTATCTTTCTGCTCTTATCTTGGAATCCTGAATGATATCTTGTATATACAGTACTATGCAGCCACCCTGGCTTAGCACTTCTTTTGATAATGCTTAAGATGACCAATATCCACAAAAATGAGCAGGTTTCTATCTCCTCGGAAAACAACGTCAGACGCAAAGATGACACCTCATAACTACTAATCCTGCCTCTGGACTGTGAACAGGTAAGTTTGACCTTGCTGAAGCCTTGCAAATAAAAACTAAGGCTATTCCGGTTAATGATTTAAAAAACAAAAAAGATAACTGTAGAATTGCAAACTTGCATTATTCTTCTTGGTTCTGGCGGGACAGCAATGGCTCGGCGCGTTTCCTGTCACCTAATACACCTGTTCATCTAGCAGTAAATGACCCAGGAGTTAGTCGGCTTATGGGGTTGCATCCTGGGGAGGGTCAGTAATAGTTTGACCTTGGGAAGATCTCGATATAAGCCTAACCTATATCAATATACACTGGCTGCTTGTCCCCCGACAATTATATACAGCAAATGTGTTCCCACTAATTAACGAGATACGTGCACAGAGGTGTTCCAAATACTCTGTACTGATGCGAGTTACAATGAGTGAGTTGGGTTTAAATACCTGTTGTCTCGTACGGGTCCTTAGGCCTTATGCAGTTATTTATAACATGTCCTTCCCGCACTGGGGATGGTTGGTCTATTGATACAAATCACAGTTCAGTCCAATACTGCAATATATGTACGATGGTTCACATCGTTATTGTCAGCACTAGGAAGGAGGAAGGGCTGAACATCTCTGAACTGGTTATTTTAAATTCATTGTATAATGAAACATAAAT